TTTTACAACAAGACAATCCTTTATTTATACTTTTGCAATGATCATGACACGTGACACTAGGTTGCCTAGCGACTAATAGCTGACCTTAACCAGACAGGATGTTTATCTCAGGAGTGAGGTAGCTTGCTGTATGTGGTTCCAGGGTAAATCCTGAGGGGATTTGACTGACCTTGTCAGGTAGCAAAAGTTACACTTTTAGTTATACAGATATTACTCTAACTTGGTCTTAACCATCCAGCAGAAAAGTGTAACCACATGGTATAAAAAGTCAAGCTATATTAATATGCTGAGCTGTAAAAAGGCTCAAGTCAACACCTTTGGACAATTGTCAGTTGTGCCGATAACTCACTGCTATTATGGACTATTGGAATATATTGAGTTATTTTGCTGAATTAAAGTGTCTACAGTCTTTGGACTGGCTTTAAGTATGAAAAGATCCTTTGAAGACTTCTCCAAATACAGCTCTCTAACTGCAGTGGAACACCCATCTCTGACAAAACAATACAAAAAAGGGGGATATGTTGGGAGCCACGAAGCTAGAAAGTTGATCAAATGTGTGTGGGTGGGACTAGGCCTCAATGCCTAAAGGAAGCTAGTAGTTTTTGGATTCATTTAAAATATTAAATTGCCTACTGTCAGTTAAAACTTTTAGGACAGTCACCCTATATGACTTTTGCTCACCAATATATGCTAAATACTAAATATGAGAAGAGGTCTTTTTTGTGAGTAGAGTAAAAATTGAAACATCTTAATAGTACAAAGAAAGGGCAAGTACTTTAAAAGTTATATAGCATGATTATATAGATTACATAGCACTAGCTAAAAAGATTGTGCTGGCATTATGGTAAACATGAATTATACTTTTTCTCTCTCCTTGTACCTTATTAAAAACAATGTATTTGACTGAAGGGTAGAAAGAAAACACACCTATATACTTTCATATGTAAACTTATATGCATATTGATATATACTTTGTGTTTGTATATGATTGCATATATATATATATATATGTGAAGTATCATAACCTAATAAAAACTTATAAGTGGTTAATCTGCACTAAAAATTAAAACATCATTGATTCCATCCCAGTAATCTGTGTGCTCTCCTCTTCTCTCAGTTCTGCCTTCCTCCAGAGGTAAACACAATCTTCAATTTTGATTTTAACTTGTTCTTAAAATAGGTTTTATAAAGCCATGTTTCATATGCATTGAAATATTATACAGGTATAACATGAAATGAATTACTCACGAATATGGACTTATCCAAATGTTATACTGAATAAAGGAATCAAGACAGAAAAGCCTTCAACTAAATCAATCTGTTCATAGGAAACTATGAACCAAACAAATGTGAATTTTTTATACTACATATACATATATATCTTTGTCATATATAAAAACTTCAAACATTTTATCTGTTAGCAACCTGCTTTTTAATTTTCTTAACAGTATTTATTAAAGAGAAGAATTGTATAAAGCCATATTTCCAAGTAGCATACTACTTAACTTTGCTTTTTAAGATTCTCAAAAGTATTCACATATGTTATATGTTCTCCTGCAACTCAATTATTTTCACCAGAATCTTTGTTCCTAAGGTCCAACCTTTTTGTTAAGTATTTCTTTGACTCCTTTTTGTTGCTGTATATTGTTTTACCCTGAACAGTAGTATGATTCATTTATCTGTTGTTCGGCCATTGAACTATGAGTAATGATTTTTTTTTCCTTTTCTTACAAAGTTCTTCATTTCTCTGGGAATAGAAATGCAAGATTTTGAAACTCAGTGCTTTACAAATTTTTTTCTATATTGGAGATATGAAAATGTACTCACACATTTACACACACACACACACACACACACACACACCTCACACACAATTGTTCAGCTACAATACTGGTGTGTAAAAGTCAAAACTCCTTGAGTCCTTGGTTCATCATGACAGGCTCTGTCCAGACAGCTCTACTTCTCCCTAGAACTGGTGGAAGGTGCCTTATGCAGAAGTTCAAACATACAACTAATTATAATTTTTTGTTTTTGAGACAGGGTTTTGCTGTATAGTTCAGAGGGCCAGCCTTGAACTCACTATGTATAGCCCAACCTGGCCTCAGGCTCGAAGTGATCCTCCTGCCTCAGTCTCCTGAGTGCTGGGCTTCCACAGGTGCATTCCCACGCCTGGCAATAAATTGTTGTTTTAAACTATCACTTGCAGTGGTGCTCTGACAAGTAGTGTGTAGGAGCTTCTTTGGCCTCATTCTCATGATAATCTGGCATCGTCTGACTTCATATATTTTGCTAACTGACTGTCTGAAAAATAGTTTCCAACTGTGGTGCTGATTTATATTTCTTTTTACTAGGTTTGCGTAGCAATGTATGATTAGGTTCTGTGCTGTGACGTCTCTAGTCCAGCCTTGTGCCACTTTTCCTACTCTGTTTCTTAACTGAATGAAAGTGGTTAATGTTTTTATTTGGAACAATGATTGTATACTGACTCATATGTCTCTTTTTTTGTACTTTCGCTTGTTCTTCTATATGTTCTGTGAACTTGCATGTATATCTATAAATTTTCATACTCACATGTCATGTATTTTGAGTACTGTATACATCATATGATTTCATTTTACATCTTTTAGAAATCATAGATTCTTAATTATTATGTATTTAAATTTATACATATATCCTTTTGTTTATGATGAAGGATTTTTACTTGTTTTAATAAAGCTTTTGCACCATAGGATATAGTATAATTTTGTAACTTCTATGTCATTTTTGTACTCTATTCCATATCCTCCTGTCTTTAAGTTCTCTTGCTTTACTAAACTTATTAAACCATCCATAGAGTACCCTAGAGAGCTGCAATTCTAGTTTTGGATATTGTATTTGTTTGTTTGCTTGTGGCGTCTGTCCATCCAGGAGAGCTGACAGGCTGTACTAACCCAACTATGCTATTTCCCCTGGCAGATGACTGTGACGATCCTCTCGTACCTGCCTTGCCTCAGGCAGCCTTCAGCAGTTCTTCTGAGCTCTCCAGCAGCCACGGTCCTGGCTTTGCCAGACTAAATAGAAGAGAGGGTGAGTCTGGCTTTTTCCTCTGTTGAGTTCATGGTGAATCACATTAATTTGCCATTCTGCTTTAATAAAAAGGTAATATATGATAAAAACTATGCAAGTGATATATTATTAAAAGATATGCATTTCTAAATAAATCAATGGCTAAAACTCTTGAGCTGTACATGACATCTAGCTTCCATTCTGGAGTAGCAAAATGACACTTCTTCTTTGAAAATCTGGTATAGTCATTTCAACATGCAAAGAATTGATTTTCTTCAATCTGAGAAGCCTTTTATGCATCTTAAAAGCACGTTTTCTACAATGGGATGCAATCATTATGGATACTATAGAGATGAAAGCTTAATTGGCTTTCTGTTTCACATTAAAGAAGTTTGCAAGATGTAATTTTAAAAGATGTTAGTTATTTACAATAATGATCCCTCAGTTTATTTAATTCTCCTTGTGGTTGACGTGATTTTCTTTACTGTTGAGGAATAGGAACTTCATAAAGCTTTCGTGCTGTTTTAGGAATCCTCAGTTCATATTGTTTACTGTCTCTTAGGTAGGTTGGGTTTGATGCCTTGAGTATGTTTAAAAGAAAGAAAGGATAATTAAATGCCACTTGCTGTAGAAATAAGAGTTTCAAAACATTGTGTGCTCAATGACAGAGTATTATAGTGATTATCTTTCACAATATGCTAAGGTAGAAATCATCTACATACACACACAGGCAAAGAGGCTTGGTGATACTAAAATAGAGAGTATTTTTAATAGCCACAAACCAGATACCAGAATCACATGTTACTAAACACGTGTCTCCTGCATTTATTATCTCCTTCCTTGCCATATGAGTTACCCTTTCCTTTCGATTTATCCTTGGTGTTACCTTGATGCTGTTGCTTAATGCTAAACATATTGAACTTTAGATGTAGCAAGCAGATTGTGTGTGTGTGTGTGTGTGTGTGTGTGTGTGTGTTAGGTTTTATCATCTAGTATGTATCATACTTCATATGTAATCCATTGCGATAATTTCAGCATGGATATTTGTGTAACATTTTCACATGCTTTTAAGTTTATTTAGAAATTGTATCCCCTATTATTGGATATGCCCACCTACTTTTACTTCTGAGCGTGAAGATATCTAATGAGAAATCTGGGGGTGCCAAGATGTGTTTCTGTGCCTGTTAAGTACCTCATGGTGACAACTGTCAGTCACCCAGGGCAGCCTTCTTCTATTTGAATTTTGGGATCTCTGAGGGGCCAGGCAAGTAGACTCTCTTAGTCCCCCTGAGGACTGCTCCAGACTCGATGGTCATGGATCTGACCACAGCAGTGCTGCTCAGACAGCTCTGACCTGAGAGCAAAGTCAGACCCTGTATTTCTCCTTCAACTAAATCAGAGTTTAACAGTCACCACCGCTTCATGTGAGTTATGTTAACTTCACAGTATACGGCCCACCAAAAAGAATCAAAATTTATCTATGTATCTTATTTTGTTTGTTGAGGCCTAATAAATCAGAAAAAATATATTTTATTAATTGGATCCAATCGTATTTTTCATTAATTTATGTGCTCATCAAGAGTCTCCATCAGTGGGACTTATTTTCATTCTTAATTTGTTTCTATGGCTCTCGCTAAAACACAATATCAAACTTCATGAATCTCATTTGCATGTTAATGAAACTGAGAAACAAAACAGGATCATTTTAATTATCTTTCCTGGTTGTCAACCTACTTGATTACATTTTTCTTTTTATTTAGTTTTTCCTTTTTTTCTATTAATTACATGAAGTGCTCATAAAAGGATGTCAGATTTTGAGTGATTTATTACTAAAGGCTATATATTACTTCTAGAATAAAAACATTGTTTGTAGTATTTAGGAATGCAAAAAGTGTTCAGCCAAGTCACTAGGTTTTGTATAAGTAGCCTAAACCAACAACTCAGGACCTCACTATCCAGATGTAGAGAAACTTCTTTCCTGAGGAATCAGGAAAATGGCCAAGAAGGATCAGACAGGGTTTGAAAGGAATCCCTTTCCTTTCAAGCTATGGATAAAAAGTGCCTGAGGAAAATCGTAGGTCCACTGTAAGGAGGGAAAGGCTGCTATTGGACGTGATTCCATTTCAACCAACATGAAGGATGAGAAACTTACATTTTGGAGGTATAGTAATTGTACTAATTCAATTTTTCCATGAGTGTTATTGCGGGTTGAATTGTATCCTCAGAAAGAATATATTTAAGTCTCATCCTGAGATCCGTGGATGTGACCTCATCAGGGCATTGGGTCAAATTTGATGTAATCAAATGAAATGAGGGTCTGCCTGATAAGGATAGCCCTGAAACCAATGGCCAGTCTCTTTCTAAGGAGTGACATTTGGACCCACAGAGACAGAGAGAAATTATGTAAAGGCACAAGCAGAAATCAGAGAAGTACAGCTGTAGACTAAACCATGCCAAAGTTTGACAGTGACCTCCATGGGCTGGGAGGAGGTAAGGAAGGACTTGACCTTTCAGCTCACCGAGGGACCGTGTGGCCTTACTGACCAGCACCTGGATCTCAGTGCCTTTGAACCTCTAGAACTGCTGAGAGAATAATTCTCAGTTCTTTTAATCTGCCAAATTTCTGATGCTTTGTTATGGCAGTTGTGGGAAACTCGTACAAGTGCCACTCAGCAAATAGCTTCTTTTTCATTAAAAAACACTCCAGAGAAGTGTTTAACTTAAATAATTTTTATGAACAAATGACTTACTTCTTTTGCACTGGGAAAATGCACATCAATTTTCACTTGAAAGATTTTATGGCTCAGAGAAGTAAAATCCAATATTAATTCTTTTTTCCCCAATATTAATTCCAAACAACACAAACAAAAAACAATCACTGCCAATCCTGACAATATAAAGGAATCAAATCTTTCTCTGCCTTTGTAGGATAGGTCCCATTTATCTAGTGTTTTCGTTTTCAAAGTGTCGGTCAGCATGACACGAAATACCAAATGCAAGGTTTCAGAAATGTGTAGTTCGTACTTTTTGAGTTGCATGATGAAATTTCACCCTGTTTCCCCAGGACATGAATGACCTGTTTGTCCAGTGTGTCCACAGCATGTAGTCCCTGCCCGTTAGTCACATAGAAGTCCTCTTGATTTTCAGATCACCTGTCACAGTATGGAGGTGCTTCTGTTATTAGTCACTCTTATGTGGTAGCCTGGTGCTTTGTCGCAGTGCCTATGTCCTTTGACTCCCTTTTTCTTCTCATGTAGGCATTGTGTCACCTCACAGAATCACAAAAGAAAAGACGGTGGGACAATGCAATATAGCACTGAGAGAGAATATGCCCTTAACTTTTATTACAGTGCCTTGTTACAATGGCTGTGTTTTATTACTCATAGTGAATCTCTTTTTGTGCCTAATTTCTGAATTAAACTTTATCACAAGAGTGTATGCGTAGATGTAAGGACAGTGTGCATGGGATTGAGTATCATTGGTGTTTTAGGCATCCATTGGGGTTTTTAATGGATTCCCTGAAATAAAAGCAAGTGCTGTATAATTTCTCATGGTTGAAGTTTCAATATTGTTTGAATTTTAATGGACTATTTAAAGATAAGTGGCTTACTTTTCTTGTTGCTGAGACAAAATACTCAACATGCCAAATTAAAGGAGAAAAGCTTTATTGTAGCTCAAAGTTTGCTGAGATTTTTGTTCATAGTGGGTTGGCCTCCAAGGCAGTAAGGGAGAGGGGCCTTGTAGAGGAGAAATAGACTATGGCGGGGTGTAAGCAGCAAAGAGAAAGCAGTGAAGAGCGAAGTAGAGAAGCAGCAAGCACTTGAGCAAAAGCAGCCCTCTTTCTGCTCCTTGTAGTGTGTCCAGGCTACAAGCCATTAGGGCAGGCAACACTCACATCCAGTGCGGGCTTTTGCATTATTCACATGCAGAACTATGCCAAGCCAGTCAGTGGAATAATTTAGTAATCATGGGCCCTTGCTCCAAGCATCAGACCCTTAATCCCAATGTCACACACTCTAGACCCAGCCACCTCTGAAAAGACCCACCCATGACTGCATGAGGCTTTAGGGGGCCATCTAAACACAAATCATAATGTTAAGCATAGTTTGACTTTTACAATTATCAATGCGCATTTTTTTCTTTTTTTGTATTTTTAGGGAAGGGTCTACAGGGTGTTCAGGGTCTCACTACTAGATTGGACTCATAGTGATCTGCCTGCTTATAGCATCTTAAAAGCTGGGATTACAGGGGCGAGCTACCACACCCAGTCTCAGTTGCAGTCTCAGTGCACCTCTGGGGTGGGGCCGGCATGGCAGGCCCAGGGATCAAACCTCCGGCCTCTGCACCTGCTTACAGATGCTTTAATCCGCGGAGCTACTTGGCCAGCTCTCAATGCACGTTTCAAGCAGGTGCAAGTATACCATTCGATAGCCCACGTGTGTTCTGAGGATGGAATATAAAGAAGACAGATTTTTTTGGGCTGTTGTGGTTGTAATATAATCTAAATGAAAGTCTTTACTTTCACACATTTGGGAACATTGGAAATAGGTTATTGCAAATGCATTATTGTGATAGACTTGTGCATAGGGGGAAAATAATAAAGCAAGAAAGAAAAGTGATTGCATAGGAAAAATAATCTATATGATATTTTGAGTATGAGTGTAAACATGTACATATATCTATGTTTAATTAAGTAGAAGTTTGCTTCTATAACTGACAAATACTCAGATTTCTCTATTCCACAAGATTAGATTATTTCCTGTTGGGCCAGCAAGATAGCTCAGTGGAATAAAGTGCCTACTTAGGCAAGCTTAGGTGAAGCACTTGGGGCTGCGATTTGATCCTCAGCACCACATGCCATGCCAGCCCTGCCTCCAGGACAGGCTGGGCCAGCCACAGAGTCTGGGCATTGTGGCATATGTCTATAATCCCAGTGCTGGGGAGGCTGAAAACAGAAGGATCATTATGAGTCCAAGCTGTGTAGTGAGACTCTGTAACAACCAAGTACATTAAAAAATAAA